TTAGAGCTCAAGTTGTAGTTTTCTAACCAAACAAATACTATCTAATAAGTCATGTATTCTCTCCCCAAACACATCAAAAATATTTATTTAAAGTCACACTAAAAGCTGATCTTCTTAGTGTATAAAATATGTACAGTTATTATCATTATTATCTCTATTTACTTATTTATTTATTTACTTACTTACTTATTTATTTATTTTCTCATTCTTATTTTATCTAATCATCGTTAATGTTTGTCACTTTCACAGATATGGAATTACATTTTCGGTGTATTGATTCAGTGAGTGGTTGAAACAAGAGAAGCCCAGAATCCTCATTTTCAATTATTCAGCAAAGTTTTTCATCGAATCTCCAACCACTATTTTTTATTTATAACAAATTTTAAGCAACCATAAATAGTTGCTACAACAAAAAACATCAAGTTGCTTCATAACCACTTGAGCCACATACTTTATTTTTAGATTCTGCCTGATTAATAGAGTGAGTAATTTAACATCATTTATAGATCTCTGAATGGGAACAATTTTGTCAACAAGACATGTTCAGCGACATTGCAGACAGTTGAATTGACGACTCTGATTCAGTAAATATAGTTAGCCGTGGTATAAGGGTAACGGCTGAATTATTATACCTCAGCTGGTGAAGGCGACTGAAGGCAGTGAAAAATTTGAAACAACGATTTATTACCACAAAAATAGAAGTAATCTGCCTAAATATCAAATTTCCAGACAAATTTATATTCAAAAAATACAAGATTTTGAAACAAAGTAAAATCTCATTTTCATGGAGACTAGTATTATTTTTTTTTTCGTTCAAACCATAAAAAAAGTTAGTTTCTAAATTTATTCAAATTAATTTACTTGTTTATTTACTACTACAACCTGTTAATAAAACAATATCATTATTAGTCAGCCAGTGCCTGACACTTCTACATGTATTGACTCCTAACAGACTCACCATAATAAACATTCTATTAACGCACAGTAAAATATAGCATACTGGTGATACAGCTTATGGTGTCCTAAGTGTAGGCGTAATAACTGTTGAGAAAACAGAATACAAATTGTGAAATATGTCTGTACATTGTTGTCATACAAATTTGTTTATTTGCACAGACATCTTTATCAGATGAACAGATTTAAGTAAACCGACACA